GAAAATGAGCTCTGCACCAGGGCAAATTTCCAAAGATTAATTAAAATGTCTATGATTGTTATTATTTCAAAATCGGCAGAATTTCGTCAGACCCTAAAAAAACTGAATTCGGAAGCCTTCTCAATGAATATACCCAGACTGTTATCAAACATTATATATTTATAAGTCAAGAACGGTAGGGACTGTTTACTGGTTAAGCACAAGACATGGACGGTGTCAGCTCTCATAATCACCGCTGCAATAAGAGCACTCATACCTATGATTGTTATTATTTCAAAATCGACAGAATTTCGTCAGACCCTAAAAAAAACTGAATTCGGAAGCCTTCCTAATGAATATACCCAGACTGTTATCAAACATTATATATTAATAAGTCAAGAACGGTAGGGACTGTTTACTGGTTAAGCACAAGACATGGACGGTGTCAGCTCTCATAATCACCGCTGCAATAAGAGCACTCATACCGTCTATGTTCACTGAAGACGAGTGTACCTACTATCCAGGGATGCATTGGAAGACAATTTTAGTTAAAAAACTAGCCAAAGTTGCTTGCTCATGATATTAAAAAAAATGCACCTTGAAATACTGAAATTATTGAGGTAATAATAGTATATAACACACTGAGGTGGGAAGAGATTCATTCCTGTCATGAGATTAGTTAGTTAACCGAGACGTAACCGTGGCTAAATCGAAATCAATAGGCATTCAGGAAAGAACCACTGGTATCAGTATTTGTTTATTAAATATATTTTTCTATAGTCGATGCATAGATTTCGGAAGGATGCTTTAATTCAATGTTCTGCGTGGCATTAGCCAGGCAAGTAGTTGTTTTTCTCCCGAAATCCACCATTGTTGTTCATTTAATGAACTTTGTGTGGAAATGACTGAGCTTTTTGTATTTATTTAACATTTTATTCCACTTTGAGCATAGTGGCTATTTCTTAGTTGAAATTTCGCCAGTCGGGCAACCAGCCACCCCCATAAGAAAATTTTCAATTTTTGAAGAAACGACGATTCAATATTGAGGAGATATGACATTATAAGAAAATCAGAAAATTATTGATGTGAAATTTGAAGTTTTGAACACCTGTGTTTGCTGGCATCTTTTTGTAGAAATATTCATTGTTGCTATGCAAACCTTTTGAAGTAATCGAATATGTCTCAATTGAGATGTTTATAGGCATCTTAGGCATCTTAGTCTCAATATGTAACCGCAAAGTGAAATGGCAGATAAAAAGGACTTTCAGTTCGTTCTCGAAGACGGTGTTATTGGATTATTTTTCTGAACTATACCACAACGAAAGCCATCAACAGTATCTGGGAAAAAGTACTCACTTTTTTCTGTGGGAAAAACAAATTTATGAAGAGTGACATTTTGTAAACTGTCAATAGAGAAAAAATGTCTAAATTTTTTTTCCGTCACAGAAAAAATAACTATTTTTATGTGACAGGAAAAAAGTTTGGCATTTCATCTCTGTTGGCAGGTTATAAAATGTCACTTTTCATAAATTACTTTTTTCCCGTGGGAAAAAAGTGAGTACTCTTTTCCCGGATATATATCACATATATATACACTATAGATGGCCTTTGTTGTGCTATAGTTCCGAAAAATGAGTCAATAATACCGTCTCCGAGAAAGAACTGCAAGTCATTTTATCTTCCATTCGACTTCGCGATTACGTATATTACTGAACCACTAAATTCACAATTTTTTGAAATCATATCACAGAATTAGACTGACAGAAATGACATCAGATATTTGATTTCTTCAAAAGAATAATAAAGATGCCTACATGCCCTACTGTTAAAAACTTGAAATTTCACGTCGATAATTTTCAGATTTCAAAATAATGTAATATCTTCTCAATATCGATTCGTCCTTTCTTCTGCCACAGAAAAAATAGTGTATTATACACGGGAAAAATATTAGATTTTAGCTCACGGACAACACAACCTGGAGCTAAAATCTACTACTTTTTCCCCTTGTATAATAAATAACTATTATTCTATCGATGAATACGTTGAAAATAGTTCAGGGGTGCGACCTAAACATACTTACCGATTATTTATTAAAATGTTTTCCAAACTTTTATTATTTCAAAACTTCATTTTGAGATAGAAATGTCCTGCTATGAATATGCAAATGTATAAAATGTAGTCAAATAGACTATCTATAGGTCTGTCTTTTAGACGACGTTCGAATTTTCAAACTTCCATCGTCGTTTCGTCGTTACAACTTCCTTTGTTATGTTGACGTGTTTCTGCGTTTACTACTAGCAGTCCATATAAGCGACTAAGGACTCGTCAATCTCAGGGCCAACTCTTTTTTTTACTCATTATTACAAGCTCTTAGTCAGTTTCACCTGTCCCGGTGTCTGTGTGTGTAATCAAATCTTGCAAGTTGAATATCGGTCTGTTTGTTTTTGTTGCTGAACTTGCGAAAGTTGATTTTGTTCCCATAGTTGTCTCTGTTCATGGCAAAATGTAATCAGAGAAACTAATAGAAGAAAATAAAGTTCAGCAGGTATAGCAAAAACAAACGAACAGGCCTTATGACACACTTCTAATCGTTCGATTAATTCGAAATTTTGGCAGGTGCACATAACTCTGGTGACAATGCAACATGAAATTTTTGTTAAAGAAACAAAACAAAATATAATGATTTTCCGATTCCATCCAAGTATCTGGGGCTTTTCGGAGTCGGAGATTATGATTCTTCCGTCAAAATTGGGAAATTCAAGATGTCGAATCCAATATGGCGAATGACTTTTGTAATTATGATCCGATTCTATTCAAAATTCTTATCTGGAGTTTTTCTGGGTCGTAAATTATGATTCTTTCATTGAGAGAAATTGAGAAATTCTTCTTAAAAAATTGAAAAATTCAAGATGGCGGATGAGTTTTGTGATTATGGTCCGATTATATTCAAAATTGGTATGTGGGGGCTTCTGTTGTAGAATATTTTTACAATTACAAGCTTTTATTCATTTTCACCTGTACTGTTGTCTGTCTGTGATAGTGTGTCTGTGGGGGTTTGTCTGTGTATGTGTAGTGCATTTACAAAAAGTTATCTTTAAAAATAGTTTTTACCAAAGCTTGTTTCTCATTGTAACCGCTGCTGAAAGGTATTGAGAAGCTGGCTAATCTTCATCTTCATTTCAGGCCTACTGAAGATATTTATTGGGGCATATCTAAATATTTTTGTGGTATATAATATACCGGGTGTCCACGTAGTGTGGAAAAGCTCTATAGCTTCAGTGTAATAAGAGATAGACACATCTTTTTGGCGATGGAACTATATCGTTAGGTCTACAAATCAAAATTATTTTGATCTCTACAGGATGTTTTTTGAATGCGGAACTTTTTTAGTTGAATACCCTGTATTTCATTGCATTTTAAAATTATCCCTGAAGACCTAATTTCATCAATACAGCACACTGGGGGTCTAGCGGGAATGATTAGAGAAATTTCAACTTTAGGACTTTCTTGTGCCGAAACTATTCATTATGGGTCAAACCGGCTTACATAACCCTATCATAACATTCAGTTCATACAAATACCGGATGGTTCAAGGATGTGAATTCTGATCACTCTGTATTTATTCCAATTAAATATCTGTAGATAGTAAATCAAAAGTTAAAATAATGACATATAAACCATTTTGACCTTCCTAATGTTAAAATTTCTTGATTTTGAACACCACATTGATAAAAATGCAATGAAATAAAGGGAATTCATGTATTTCCTCGTTCAAACACATGCTGTAGAGATCAAAATGATTATGACTCGTAGACCTTACGATATAGTTAGTTTCATATCCCCAAGAAGATTTTGTTTATCTCTCATTACACTGAAGCTATAGAGCTTTTCTGGACACCTGGTATACGGTGGCAACCTTTTCAATGGGTTGTATTAGTACTAGTTAGGAGATCGGTTAAATGGAGAAAAAATTGCAAAGCAGCATCTACCGGTGAAAACTTATAGAACATATCAAGGCCGGTACTTCTGAAAATAAATGAAGTAAATCAAATGCCCCGAAGGGTAGGAGGACGATCTAGTCCTAAGAGCCATCTAGTGGCAAAAGTGCAAGGGTGTATAGGTGGATTGTTTAAACAACCATACCTTGCGAGTAAGTCGAATATAGACCCCTACGACCATATTATTAGAGAAAGACAAAAATGCCACAATTCAGCAGACTATCGCAACACCTGAAAGTCTCACAGTTGTTTGATGTCCCACCGACAGTTGTTGAGAAACCTAAAATCTCAAGACTAAGAGATTCTAAGGACATTTTGTAGATCGATTATCAGCTGGTGCAAGACAAACTGTTTCGGCTTTGCCAAGCCTCCTCAGTTGCACTAGGCCATTTGACAATCGATTCACGAAGAGTACTATTATTTATATAGATTGAATCAAATGCCCCAAAGGGTAGGAGGGCGATCTAGTCCCTGACGTCACCTAGTAGAAGGTGTATAAGTAGATTGTTTAAACAACCATACCTCGCAAGTAAGTCGAAAAATATAGACCCCCTACGTCCATATTATTACAGAAAGACTAAAATGTCACTATGTCCCACCGAAGGAATAGAAGGATAACCAAAAAACCGAAAAGATCGAATTTATTTTTTTCACCATATCTCAAGAACCGGCCCTTCCTGATATGCAACTTTTTCTCCATTCAATCAACCGTCTAACTAGTATGGTTTGGAAGTAACCAATCCAATCGCATTAAAAAAGTGGCCAATCCGTATATATTTTAATATATTGAATGCCCACTCTATTCTGTCAAAATATTATTGTTCGATAATACTTTCTGCTCTTGTTGAACACTTTCCTAGAACAGTAAATATAACCACATATGAAAATGAGTGTTGAGGGTTCATAGGTTCATACCACTTGACATTCGCATTTATTCGCAGGTTGATACAATTTTATATATTTGAAAAGTTTTCTAAGAGAAAGAACTATTGTTTGGCAATAATATCCATTATGAGTGACTAACATAACATCATCAATTATTATTTCAGCTGAATGTTTACCTGATTCAAAAATGTTGTTCAGAAAAATTGCCTCTTATTTAAAACCAATACATAGCCATGGAATCAAGAGATATTACTCCAGTATTCTGAGAACAGAAATCCTGCAAGAGAATTCAGACGTTCAGTCATTCAAAATTGGAGAAAAGTACCATGGTTTTCTAGTGAAAAACATTCAAAATATACCAGAATTTAGAATAACGGCAATTTATCTACTACACGAAAAAACTCAAGCTCCCTATCTACATCTCTATCGTGATGATGGCAACAATGTTTTCTCTATCAACTTCAGAACTACACCTATTAACAGCACGGGCTTGCCGCATATTCTGGAACATACAGTTTTATGTGGATCAGAGCTATTCCCTGTGAGAGATCCTTTCTTCAAAATGCTGAATCGATCATTGGCCACATTCATGAATGCCATGACAGGATCCGACTACACCATGTATCCCTTCAGTACACAAAATTATTCAGACTACAAGAATCTACAGAAGATTTATCTGGACGCTGTCTTCAGACCTCAGCTCAATGAACTTGATTTCATGCAGGAGGGTTGGAGACTTGAAAACACAGATCCGAATGATATCAAGACTGATATCATTATCAAAGGAGTAGTATACAATGAAATGAAAGGTGTCTTTGCTGAAAACGAGAATATTTTGGGACAAAAACTCCAGAATCTTATTTTACCAGATCACACATATGGAGTGATATCAGGTGGTGATCCTAATGAAATCCCGAATCTCACTTGGAATGACCTCAAAAAATTCCACATTGAACATTACCACCCTAGTAACTCTAGGATATATTCCTATGGAAATTTTCCTCTGTTGCCTTCTTTGGAATACATTGACACAGAGTATTTCAGCAAGTATGCTTTCTCACCCCCAACCCATACCAAAGTGCCAAAACAAAAGAGATGGAAGGAAGCTAAGCAGGAACATATACCTTGTCGATTTGATAGCTTGGGTGAACCTATAGAAAAACAAAATTCAGTTTCAATTTCTTTACTGCTTTCTGATAATACAGATGTCTATGAAACGTTTGTCATGCAATTTTTGACTGAGTTGATGATCAAAGGACCTAACTCACCATTCTATAAGTCGATGATTGAACCTAACTTCTCTGGCGGATTCACCCCTTCTACAGGTTTTGATAATCAGCCTAGAGATACCATATTCACTTTGGGGTTACAAGGTGTCAAGAAGGAAGATTTTGAAAAAGTAGTAGGGATATTTGATGAAACAATGAAGAAAATTGTTGACAAAGGGTTTGAACCACAACATATCGAATCTGTTTTGCATCGATTTGAGCTGTCCATCAAACATGAAACTAGTAATTTTGGCTTGAATTTGCTATTTGGTCTGACTCCTACATGGAATCACACTGAAAATATATTATCGAGTCTAGAAGCAAATAAACTGATAGAAACGTTGAGATCGAACATAAAGAGTAATCCTGTATACCTACAAGAAACTGTAAAGAAATATTTCAATGAAAATTCTCATCGTATTGTACTTACAATGTCAGCTGACAATACGTTCGACTCTGTTCTTGACAAAAATGAAAAACAACTAATAAAAAAGAAAACAAAGAGTCTCTCTGATGACGATAAGAAACGAATTTATGAAAAGTGTCTTGCGCTTCAAACACAACAAAACGAACCAGCTAAAACGGAACTATTACCAACTTTAGTTATAAATGACATATCTTCAGAAGTTGAAAAAGTTGACAAAGTTCAGGTTACATTGAGTAACGTACCAACACAGATAAATAAGGTTAATGCCAATGGAATAGTTTATTTTAAAGCTGTGATGAATACAAACGAGCTGTCCCCTGAGCAACAGATGCTTTTGCCACTTTTTTGTTATGTGATAAACAAATTGGGAACGAACAAACTCGATTATTTAGAATTCGATAACCTGGTCAACCGCAAAACTGCCGGGCTAGGCTTCCACAATCACATTGCTGAAAGTTTGTTCCATCTACATACGTACGAACCTGGCTTATACCTATCTAGTTACTGTTTAGAAAAAAATGTGGACAGTATGTGGGACATATGGAATCAGATTTTCACGATCAACGAGCTGAAAGACGTCCAACGCTTCCAAATGTTGGTGCAGCTTTATATGGCCAACTTGACTCATGGCATAGCAGACTCTGGACATGTTTATGCTATGCAGGCCGCTTCTAGTTTGGTGTCCGGATCGGCTTATCAAGTTGAACTTCTTTCTGGACTACATCACATCAGCTATATGAAGAGATTGATTCACACTTCCAACTACAGGGCAATGTTGGATGAGATTCTGAATATTGCTAAAATATTATTCGACAAGAACAAGATGAGGTGAGTAGACATTGGAATTCCTACAAACATTTCCAAGAATTTGAAAGATTTGAAAACAACATGTTAAGTCTCATGAAAACTGTTGTATTGAATAATGGAAAAAAATTCATAGTACAGGGTGCGGCTCTTCAAGTTGACTTCCATCCTCAACTTGTTTGCTTTTAGTAATATAAAAAAATATCGAATGCAAAATTTGGTTGAAACCGGCCAACTTTTCATTTAGCAATATTTCCTTATATCTGATGGTTCAAAGCACATATATTTTATGTCTACTTTTTGCCAATGCTAGAGAAAACGTTGTCATATCTAGATTGTGCAAATATTGTATGTCTCGAATAACAAGAGGTTATGTTCATAAGGGAGTCGGACAGTTCGTCCACGGGCCAGGTACCTGTTTCAGTACACCGATCAGTTGGACCACGACCGCTCTTCGAGCGGATTAAGGTTGTATTCTAAGAATTGAAACAATCACTATTTTCTTAACATATATTATTTGTTATTGAGGTGAATTATAATAAGACATAATTTTCACAAAATCTTTTTGTGATAAAAGGCCATTTCTATATTCTGATATCTTAGCTTTAATAAAATCTTTTTTTTTCTGTGTTGCACTTTTTTGGTGAAACATTTTACGGAATTTATTTTAATATATGTTTCTGCTTGAAAATTTATCAAGATATTTACATAATTAAATAAACTTGGGTGAGAACTATGAAAATTAGAATTATAATGAGAATGAAATGATTCACACGCGTTTGTTTCCTACTTCATTAGGGTCTAAAAATGAAAGCCAAAAAAATAATTCAAGAAAATTGACTATTTCTGAGTTTTTGTTCCGATATTCTGTGACTAAGCCCAAATTTCGAATTTTACGATACCACGATTGGCACAAATGGAATCTACATCCTATAATTTTTATATTCGGACACATTATTGAACAAGCGTTATGAATTGCCTGTTCAAAATCAACAATGACTGTTGAAGGTTTAAACATCAGATCCAAAGTTTTACATTTTTCATTTAACAGTTGAAATAATTTTGAATAACTTGAGCTGTTCTTGTTCAATAATAGCCATTTTTAAAAGCATGAACAGTAAATAATTGTAGAAAAAATTTAGTACAAAAAAGTATCACATCGTAATTTGGTATCAATGCCCGAACCTTGTCATTTTTTGACGTTTGTATGAAAACTAAATTAACTATATACTCATGAAGGATAATTATGCTTACTAGAACGTTTGAACGTTACTGAAATAATTCTATTAAATCGATTAGGAAATAAAATGTTAACCTGGTCGAACTGCAGGGTGGGCTTAACTCGACCTTTTTCAAAAAAGGATTAATGCAGGTACTTGTGGTCCAACTGACCGGTCCCCGTTCATAAACGTAGTGAAAATATAGTATATTCATAGGTTTGTAGGGTATGTATATGCACACTCATACTATATGTTATAATTTTTCGTCCGGACATAAAATATTTGTTACTATTGGACTATCGATACATGCTTAAAAGTTGTATGTCCGTGCATAACACGAATGTGTACTATACTGCTGCATTCTTATAAATCAGTTGTTTAGGACTTGTTTATAATTACAATACGCTTCTTTGCAGTAGGTTAATGTTCTTCATTAAAAACGCGAAACGATATGTATAATTACAGTTTTTTTTATAATGTCCATATGTAGTATTGTCCACTATAGAAAACGCATGTCCATACCGAACCGATTTTTATTAATAATTGTAATGATAATGAGCAGTATGCATTATAGTCTAATATCAAACATTGAAACTCAACCAAAAAATATCATATCTTTTGTGAAAATATTACGAACTTTGAACCGTAGCATATATCAACTTTTGTTTCTTAGATGATACACCCTCTATATTTCAAGAGATTTCTCATACTAAATTCTGATATTATACAGAGAAGTGCACAAAAAACGGCCAGGTCTGTAACTTTTGAATTATTCGAGATAGGGTTTTGAAAATGGGTGGGCAGCTAGTATACCAAATTGCTCATTAATTGGCGAAACAATTTTTGTTCTATCACTTCCGGTTTTACTGAAAACGACTCCAAATTTGATTTTTAAATGGGACACCCTGTATTGTATTCCATAATCGGTTAGGGATTGTCATAACGAATTCATCGATACCGGGTTTGATAGGGTCATTCCAAACGATTACACAGATACTCGCGTTCTAAGTTTCCATATGCTCAATGAGTATGTCAGAGGGAGAAGTTTTGATATTGCGAAGTCACACCCACTGAGCATATGGAAACTTCGAACGCAAATATCTTTGTTATCGTTTGAAATAACCCTATCAAACCCGATGTCGTTGAATTCGTCATGATAATCCCTAACCGATCATGGAATACAATACAGGGTGTTCCATTTAAAAATCAAAAGTTGAGGCCGTTTCCGGTGAAACTGGAAGTGATAGAAGAAAACTTGTTTCGTCAATTAATGAGCAATTTGGTATAGTTGCTACCCACCAATTTTCAAAACCCTATCTAGAATAATTCAAAAGTTACAATCCTGGCCGTTTTTTGTGCAATACTCTGTATAAGAGTTGATAGGTCTAGTTGTTATACCTTTCAACATATTGGTCCTTCAAAATGCTCTAAAAAAATCCTCTCAATGAACATTATTTTGACGTTTGCCTCTTAACACGAGTGAATTTACTAGGCTGAGAACATTATATTTTCCCTACCATTGATATTTGACTTTTGTGTTACTATTTTATTAATTAATTCATTCATTCTTTTTTTATTAAAAATATAACTCCAGTCAAAAGAAGTTGAGGTATAAGGAATTAGTTGACAATAATAATAATACAAGTATGTATAACAAATCTTTAAGAATACTCCATATTTGAATTCATGGTTATGAAGAAAAAAGTTGTCATGGATCGTCAGCCAAAGCATATTCGGAACATTTTAAAGCTCCAATATATCAAACAGTATGACAGCTATAACTCTCGATGCTTATATATTTGAATTTTGGTTGCATGTTTCATTCAAATATTCGAACAGCACTTTATCAAAACTCCTTCATCCATAGAACGGCTAGGCTCTGGAATTCATTGTCTGAGGAAGTATTCCCAACAACATATAATCTCCAGAAGTTCAAAAAAGATTCCAATACCTACCTCCTGTCTCTATCCTCCCTAGGATTGCACGATGTTCTCTAAACATTATAGGGATTTCCTTTCGTGCGCTCCAAGCGATAAAAAAAATGGTGATCTCCATTCCGGAAACACAGGAGACCCTGTACATAAAAAACTCTAGGAAATAAAATATGGTTTCAACTTAACTTTTGCATTTAATATTTCTTATATCTTTAAAAACAAACAACTCAAGGTTCAAATCTAAAGGGTGCACCTTGTTTAACTATCTTTCGACGAAGATTTGTATATGGATAGGATACTTTGAGAATCAAAGGTGTCAAAAAAGGGGAATACAAGAGCTGGTTTGAGTAAATGAGTATTTGAATGACAGCTATACGATCATTACGTTAATAACAAAAGTAATTGAAGTATATTAAAAATGTTTATTCACATATATTGCGCTGGGCTAAATATGAATTTGAAATAGCTAAATTTCAACTCACTGTTAGTAGTAAGCAAATATATTTTTCTGTATCTGTATATGATGCTTATAGTTTGCTAAACATCCCGTTCATGACGTTAGCTTGTGTCCTCGGCTTCACAAATAACGCAGCTCCTATGATCACAAAATCTGAATTATCATCAAATATACAAAATCTTCAGCTGAAGTCACCGCGTCCTTCTGTGTTTCAACATTACATTTTGGGGCATCCGTATACAGATACATTTGAATATGTTTAAATTTAGAGTGAATAAAAATCAACATGAATCAATAATTTTCAGAGTGGCATTGAATTTATCTCCAGAAAACCAATCAAACATCCTTCACACCTTCGAGAACTTCGTCATGAACCTCCCTGAAACTTCAAGTGACATTCAGACCGAATCAGGGTCATCCTATGTGACCGGAAAAGTCTGGGCACCAACAGACGCTGTCAACTGTCAACATCACGTCATAAATATACCTGTGAATTTCTGCAGTAAAGCTATCTTGACTGCCCCTTACACTCACGTGGATTACGCTAAGCTGAGGATATTGGCGAGGCTGCTGACCTCGAAATATCTACATCCAGAGCTCAGGGAAAAGCAAGGAGCATACGGTGGCGGTGCCAGGTTGATGCCTGACGGCGTGTTCTCGTTCTACAGCTTTAGGGACCCTCGCAACCTGGCTACCTTAGATGTTTTCGACAACTCCTACAAGTGGTTGCAAGAAGAACTCGGTAAACTTAAAGATCAAGACATTTTCGAGGCTAAGTTGGGAGTGTTTCAAGCAGTGGATGCGCCTGTACCTCCTAGCAGTAAGGGTTGCGAGGAGTTCTTGAAGAGGCTGACTCCTGATATCAAACAGCGCCACAGAGCTGAGCTGATGAGTGTGGAAAAGGAAGGGTTGCAAAAAGTAGCTGAGAAGTACTTGGGACTGTCGAATGTTTTGAATACTGGGAAGGTTGTTATAGGGTCTAAGAGTGATAAAATGGATGTTTCCAAACGGGAAAATGAGTTGTGGACTGTGATGGATACTGCTATTTGATTTCATCATGCTTTCCAGTGAGATTTTGAAATATTTCTAAGATACAATACTTCCCAAGCTCTCAAATGATATTTCATAATGATTATTATTGTTGTGTTTTTCGAAATGTTTGGAACAATGTTGTTATAGATATGATCTGTTATATGAAATTTATGTTGATTAGAAAGTGAAATGTTATTTATATGTGTTTCTCATGGTATTTTGAATAGACTGAAGACAATAATAAACAGTTTCATTCCATCTATCACCATGGCATTTGATTAGTTGTTTCAAATGAATGATGATTATCTCATGATGAGTATTGGTTGTTCTCAGTTTGATTGTTAATGCTAATTCATATAGTATTTCTCTTTTAATATGATTATCTATTTTCTTTTTCTTTTTGTAAACATGTATGTCATGCAACATCTATATCTCTGATTACTAGAGGAAATATTTTACTGATTAACAAAGTTATTTTTTCATCATTCAGATAATATTTGGTTAGGAATTGAATTTTGAAAGTATTTCTCTGTTTCATTTTGATTGGTTTTTACATTGAGATAGATATTATGTTTTGTTACTTAAAAAAAAATACTAACTGGCGAATCATAAGGAACATTACCTAAATGTTCTAAAACTCATTTAATAATCATAAAAAACGATTACTTAGTTTCGTTAGTCTTATTGAAACAAGCATTTTTATTACCTTTATATCTAATTCATTTGTTGTGATACCAACCCCAATGACATTTTTATGGAATGTTCATTAGGCTTAGTATGCAGAATCAATCATTTGATTACCTATATCATATTTTCATTTGAAAAAATACTTGGTAGGGTAGAACATTTTCAATGCGCCCAATCTTGCAGAAATCAACTTTTATGTCTTCTAAAAATATATATGTTCAATATTTTACATTCGTACTATATATTACGATTTTATAAAAAAATACATGTAATTTACAGACATGACCCTTCCATCATCTTACAAAACAACTTCCGAATACTTCAAAGATTCTTTAGAGTTTTTAAAGACCTACCAATGGCTGTATAATTGCAGTAATACCGATATCTTAGTGAGAAATACATTCGAAAATTTTCCAAGTGAGTGGTTGGATTATTTCCAGAATTTGACAGATGAGGATCTTAATAAATTATCACTGAAATATGTAGAGGTAAGAAATTTTGAAATTAGGTTATTGAAACATATTCATATTTTATCTTCCTGACTTCGTATTTTAGGTTGATTGCCCTACAAGTTTGAAACAATTTCTGGAGAAGGTAGAAAGGTTGCAACCAAATATTACCGTAGCACAAGAAAACGATGGTTATGCATTTCCCCACAATTCTGGTCTCACTGAAAAGAAAGCTCATGAGATCTTAGCAATGGCTCCAATTGTTCATGAACTTTGTAAGACTAATGGATTGGACTTTATCATTGATGTGGGCTCCGGGCTGGTAAGATAAAACATAATCTGATTACACAAGAACCCACTTTTTATTAAAATTTCTCCAAATTTCGAGAACAATCCACTCATTCAATCCCACAAGTAGTCTTGTTTCTAGAGGGCCCTGACCGAGGATAACAACCAACAAAGGCTCAGGTTATCCTAATCCTAATGTATATACACTCTTTTTTTGGTAATTTAAAAAAAATTATCACTATTAGGTGATTTGATAAAGTACCAGCTCAGTTTTCTTCCAAACACTGAAGTTCCTTAGTTCGTATCCTATTAACGGTTCACTTCAGTTCCTACTTCCTAGGGATGAAATAAAACACTTCAGTCCCTATTTGGAGTGCCTAAAAGGCATAGTTCAGTCCCGAATATGCAAAATAATCTTACCAACTCAATCATCGGCAACCCTTACTGACTGCTTTGATATTTTCAGGGCTACCTCTCTCACCACCTGAATGAGCGATACCACTATCGAGTCCTTGGCTTGGAATGTTCCAAAGACCATATAGCGCTAGCCTACAAAAATCAGGAAAAATTTCACCCACAATCGAAAGGCGAGGTTATGTTCATAGAACATTTGATCAATGAGGATTCCGCAGAAGTAATATCTCGGATAGCAGAACAATTTATCGGCTCGAAAAAATCTTGTTGCATTATAGGGCTTCACGCCTGCGCAGATTTGAGCATTACTATACTAGACCTTTTCGAAAAATTGGATTTCGCGTCATGCTTGGCGATAATGCCTTGCTGCTATCACAGAATCAAACTCAGGGGGGAAGATGGCGATAAAGAATACTTCAGGAATTTTCCTTTGAGCGAGGTGTTGATAGATTTGTTTGAAGAATACGAGGCACATACATTTTTGAAACGTCCTTTTTTGCGGCTGGCTTGCCAACAATCCAAGGGAAGTTTCGTTGCCATGACAGAGGAGGAGCATAATAGGCATGCTAGGAATTTCATGTTCAGGGCTATTCTTCAGGAGGTTGCTGCACAAGGTGAGATTGATTCTCCAATTATTATACAGGGCGTTCCAAAATTTTCAGTCCTTCAGTCGGTTACTAAGTGGCCAAGTAAAATGCGTTTGAGTTTCACCATTATTTACTACCCTTATTGAGTCATGTTAAGAGACTATCAAAGTCAATACTGATTGAGTAGATACTGCCGGAAATTTATTGAAAAAAATATTGAGAAAATCGACATTAATTTGCAACGAAAATGAAGTATCAAATGAGGTCTTTATGTCCTCCATCTGAAAAAGCAATCATATCTCGCGAAATCCCGCCGAAAGTTCATATCATATGGCAACAAATTCAATTACATATTTTCTGAAATACTTACTGCATATTGGTAACGTTTTTATTGAAGAACAGGACCGACCGATCCAAGACTATATCGCCCGGGCTTTGTGATGGTCGATGTGGTTCAAGGATATGAAATATAACCTCAAAACAATCAAATTTTTCGAAAAGTGGCAAGGAAAGGTATCTACGGTCTTCAAAATGAGTGACTCAAATTGCTTATAATTTAATAGAAATAGCGTTACATCACTGTATGATTCATTTGAGCGAAATATTTCTGGTAGGCAGTTCAAAATTATTATTCCATCCACAAAATCTATCTCGAGGAATTCAATAAGAGAGATGATTGCTAATATTTCTATATTTTTAGGATATCAGGATATTTTTATTATTTTCGGTATATTATCGATCGAGCAGGAAGCTCACGGTTTTTTAAGGTTTTTGTCCTTTTCGACACAAGCGCCCGGTGGAAACCAATCGTATTTTTCATTGTGATCAGTCATGAGACATTAACAAGTATCTATAGTTTTTCAGTTATATCGAAAAAAAGGAATTTTTGGAAAATCTGTTTAAATTTTTTTTACGTTATTATTGGATATACTTTCAGAAAAACTTGTTTTAGGGATACAAGGAGTTGAGATTTTTTGAAAAGATAATTTTTCATTCACAACTCAAAACTTCTTGATGACTGATTTCCATTAAAACTCAACTGGTTTGTTTGTAATTTGATAATGCATATGTTGGCGTGACTAGATTCACCGTAATTATTCCAGTGTCGCCCCAGAGAGTTGCCCGATTGATATTTATTGTAATTCGATCTCAACAACAAATCTTGTTTCATGAGTATTTCGAATCTTGCTAAATTTCCAGGAAACTAAAAATGAAAACCTTGATATGAATCCAAATTCTAATGTAGGTTCATTTAACACATCCATTGAGATCACGCAATAGCCACAATGAGTATGATTCGAAGATTTTGAGAATTTGTCAGTCAACGACCACACTGAATTTTGGCATTATGAATAGAACAGGGTATAAGGAAAAAGGCAAATAATATTTCTCACGTCAATACCTTCAATCTCGAAAATTAAACTTCAAAACCAAATAAGTTTATATGAACTTTTCTTCTTATTTTTGTGAGTATTATCTCCCATAAAATTATTTCGATTAAGATATGAAACACAATGTATACAGGAATACATAATGATATGATGACTAGAAATGGGAAAATAGCAATGGGAAAAATGTTCGTAATTGTTTCAAAAACTGTACGGTCTCACTAAATTTGCCTCAAAATCTGGCAACATTGCAAAAGAAATTGATTCTTCAGGTGCTTCTGACCTCGCCGAATACAAACACTCGAATTTGCTAGTATTAACGTCTTAACAATAACTAACAAAAATGCCAGATACATTATAAAATTCGAGATTGATCGAAAACTCAAAGTGATTTCCACGGGTGTTCAATGAAATTGAACAACAATAGTAGATGACGGTCCAGTCTGTAGGTGTTGAATGTTACCTGACCACAATTTTACAAAAATCGGCATTTGGGAAAGAAACATTCACAATCAGTATTATACGAATCGTTTCATAGAGTTCGGGAGGATTTAATTAATTGTTATTTAATATGTTCTGCGTGGCATTAGCCAAGAAAACTTGTGGAAATGATTGAGTTTTCCCTTAATATTTACATTTCTTCCCACTTTGAGTATTTTGACTAATTTGTAGTTTGAAAATCAATATTTTCCAAATTATTTTTCCTTTCAGATGTATTTCTATCTTATTTTGTTTCATCTTCCATTAACCATTTTATTTATCGCTTCAATTTCAAAAACATCACATATATTATAAAACTTTTTTGTTTCTCAATTGACTCTGCCGTTACTTAATGGAAATCCCGGAAGTAAACTTAAAAAACTTCACAAACTCAATTTATTGTACGAGTATTTCACCTGAAGAAGCTACTGTGTTAGCGAAACATGTCATGTGGGTGAAATGTTTGTAGAAATCTCATCGTTTATGAAGTTTTTTAAATTTTTTTACTAAATGAAAACTGTATTTTTCAATCGTGTTAGAATTTATATCGATTTGTGCAATATTTTCTTTCGATTCAATCTTTGTTGTCATCTACCACTATTTTTGGTAACGAATTCCTCATTTTACAAATTTCGGTTCTAGCAGTGTTTCTCCACCAATTGTCGATATCGTGTTACACTTTATAACTCTGCTGTGCGTTCAATTTCTGACAAAGCCTGCATAGGAAAATTTTTTCAACGCACTGACATTCTGGGGCAAATCATCTGAAAATTGTCGTGCGGTTTAAAGTTTTTTACTTCATTCACGAAATGAAAATTGTATTTTTCAATCTTACTAGTAGTTATATCGATTTGTACAATGTTATACTCTTTCGATTCAATATTTTTTGTAATCTACCACTATTTTTGGTAACGAATTCCTCATTTTACAAATTTCAGTTCCAGCAGTGTTTCTCCACCAATTGTCGATATTGTCATACACTTTATAACTGTGCTGTTCGTTCAATTTCTCGCAAAGCCTGCATAGAGCGAACCTGTTGCTAGTGTCCACCACATACGATCTCTTCCACATGAAATACTCCATATATTTCGCTGGATTCTCGTCCAACATTCTCAAGTAAGCCACTAGACTTTTCGCGGAATCAAACTTGGTCACGTCGATTACCGAATGAGGCGGAGCAATTTTGTCATAGTCAGCCCAACCGTAGACTATAGGAACTAAATTTTTCTGTAAAACATTGAACACCTTTTCTGTGGCGTAGTCGCGACAGTAAGCATTTTCGAAGGATAAATAAAACTTGTAGTGTTTTTCCAGGAAGTCGTAACATTTGTCTTTGTCTTCTTTAGGACAGGTCAAGTTTCCACAATTACCGTACACGTCCACATCCATGTACTTGTTGATGTTTTCGTAGAGTCGGTTTCTCAAGCTCTGGGTATCGCAGTTGGAGACTAGCCAGGCTATTTTTCTTGACCTGTTGCGGATTTCTTCTATGGAGGGTAGGATGTAGTCGGTGTTTTTGTGTTCGAAGAAACCATATGGACGAATGATTTCCGAGTCTGATCTGAAAAATTAAACATTTTAACTGATGTCACAATAACCATTTCTATAGGTCTATGTATTTTTCCATAGCAATAGGCGAGTGAACTAATTTTTTTTATATCTTGAATAGAATCATCACTGAAATACCTTTCAATTTCATATTTTCCAAGAATTTTTCGGTCGATTTTTAAATGCTAAAATCATCAATAATGTGACGGTAATTTTGAAACGACTATAGAAATTTACCGCCAGTAAAAACTGACGCCACGATTTCGTAAGTAGAGGCAAACCATAGCACAGTTGCCATGTGTTGAAATACGATTGGGAACTTCAGAAATATTAGTTATTGAATAATTCATAAATTCTCAATTGAGTATTGGTAATATTCCTAATTACTCTAATTAGCATTAACTATTCAATTGTCTCAAAATGTTTTTTTATGATCTGTGGGCGTGGTCTTTTCAGTTCTCGGCATTCAGCACAATGTTGCCAAGTCTCCAACATTGACATGATATTTTGTTATGGAGAATAAGACATATTTGGACATGCCGGTTGCTCGAAAAAGTTGAAAAGGAACTATAATACAGGGTGGGGCAGCATAACTTCCTTATTTGTAATGCGCGCCATTCGGTCAGTTGACATCGTAGTGGAGCGCTAGTGGTCTCATTCGAGAGGCGGGGCTATAAAGTTTAGTCGAGACACAGCTCAGTCGCCATAATGCGTTGGAACAGTGAGGAGCGTGCGTTTGCTGTTGAGGCTTACTTTTCGAGCGGATGTTCTGTGATTGCAACTCAGCGCGCCTTTCGAAATCGCTTTAATTTAGCCCCGTTGGCCCCTGTTCCAGACCGAAAATCAATTGTTATATGGGTCACTACGTTTAGACAAACTGCAAGTGTGACAAAACGAAGAACTGGAGTCCCTCGGCCCATTAGATCACCTGAGAACATTGAGGCAGTCAGAGCTTCAATGTTGCGATCACCACGGCGTTCTGCGCGCAAACATGCATCTGCCCTTGGACTTTCCAGTCGTTCTGTGCGGAGAATTCTCCATGAAGACTTACATTTCTATCCATACAAGATGGCGACTGTACAGGAACTGTCAGAACGTGACTACGATTCTCGCAGGAACGCATGTGAGATTCTTCTGGATATCGTTCCTGAGGACGCTATTGTTTTTTTTAGTGATGAAGCACATTTTCATTTGTGTGGATCCGTGAACAAACAAAACATGCGCTACTGGGCTGACACCAATCCTCGAGAATTGCATGAAAGGCCTTTGCATTCACCTAAGGTCACAGTGTGGTGTGCAATTTCCTCAGCTGCAATTATTGGTCCCTGGTTCTTTGAGGAAAATGAAGTCACAGTAACAGTGAATTCGGGCCGGTATGTAAACATGTTACAGGAATTCTTTTTCTCACGGCTAAATGCGTTGGACTTGGGAGACATTTGGTTCCAACAAGACGGTGCAACGGCACACACTGCAAGAGAACGCCTTATCTCAATCAGGGGCGATTTGCAGTGGCCGGCCCGATCTCCCGATTTGTCCCCTTGTGACTTTTTTTTATGGTGTTTTTTGAAATCCCGTGTTTATGTGAACCGTCCAAGGACCCTACAAGATTTAAAGAACAACATACAGAAATTGCCAACATAACGCCTGCTCTGCTTCAAAGAGTTATGACAAACACCAGATATCGGTATACTCAATGTATCGAGAATGAGGGACGTCATCTACCTGATTTGATCTTCAAAACTTAATAAAACAAAACTTTAAGTATGTACTTACATTGTAAAAACCAAATAAAATTTTTCCGATTCATACAATGTGTTTTATTATAGGTTTTAAAAAAGGAAGTTATGTTGCCCCACCCTGTATCATGGTGGAGTAATTGAATGCCAATAACTCATCATCAGTCCACTCGCCCATTATAATCGTCCAGCTCAAATTTAGTGAATAACTCGAAATTTAATTTTATTCATTTATTCAGAATCGAATATACGTTTTTGCCACTGGAAAATATCCTCTAATTATAAATATGATCTCATTTCATACATGAAAACCCAAAATTTCCACAAAGATCACTGAAAGTTGATAAAAGTTGTGTGGAGATTACTTTGGGTTTTCGTCTATGAACTACACCATTCCACTTTGAGTTACCATGGACTCCTTCCTATGATTTCATTAAAGAAAGACTCTGTGTGAAGCACTTGTATTATCTCACTTAAACTACGCGGATATTTTGTATAGCCCGGCAATCACTAAAGCTGATTCTCAACGGATTCAGAAACTACAAAATTCATGTGTCAGATTTGTTTGTGGGCTAAATAGACGTCAACAAACTTCAGAGCACAATAAAAATCTAGGGTGGCTATCTGCGCACAATAGAAAAATATTACATGCCAGCGTATTTTTCAACAAAGTAATCCGCACCCAAAAACCAGCTTATTTGTATAGGAAAATTCAATTTAGAACTGATATTCATAATGTCAACATACGACATAAAATGCGACTCACCCCTCCACAACATAGAACAACTCTTTTCAAATCGTCATTTTCTTATTATATATAACACGCATTTACAATAATATCCCGATAGAATACAAGACTGCATCACTTGTTACTTTTAAGCGTGAATTGAAAGCTGACATGTTAAATGGACTCATTGATCTTGCATGAAATTTCTATGTTCATACATGTCATACATGGGTATATATTACTTATTGTAGTATACATAGTTAAGCATATAGGAATAACAAGACTATTATATATATAAATATATTTACAGGGTGATTATTGACCTCTAGGCATTGGATCGGGGTGTTGTGGTCCATGATATATAGGGACTAGTGATGCATGTGAAGTTTGGTGAAAGATTTTTTTTTGTTTTCGAGATATTTCAATGAATGTAATAGTTATATGATGGATGCGTTTTCAATATATATTTTGAAAAATATTTCTCTATTCATCTGGATTATCTCTGTAAATATAATAAGTTCGTTTTTTTTATTGCATCAATCTGGTCATGATTTGCCATGGGCTATCAGTTCCCGGGTTTGTGCCTATAGGTTGGGAATCGCCCAGTATTATGGTTGAGTGGAAGAGCAGCTGTCGATTTATCGGCGAGTTGAACTCTGCTTTTTGTTCCATTGAGACAATAAAAGCATTTATTACTATTATTAGATAACGTTTCTACACTTGGTTCTTACGATGTTCTCTGAACATTACAGGATATTCCTTTTAGGGGAACCAGAACAAAAAAAAAACAAAGGTTAATCTGTGTGAAAATGTGGTATGGAAGTTATTGTATTATTTATTTATTTATTTATTTATTTATTTATAAACTAACAAGAGTAGAAGCTAGAAGCTTATAAACTCTTTATACTAAAGTTATACATAAATACATAATCATGAAAGTAATTGCTTAATTCTAAAATAATAACTAATGAGGATTGAATCAGCTATATAAGCCTGTCGTAGAATTTACATGAGTATGAAATGTTGGGGAAATATGTGTGGGTTATCATTATAATGTTTGTCCAAAGAATTCTTGAAAGCATTCAGGGATGGCGCTGAGACTACGTTAGCGGGCAAACTGTTCCAACATAAGAAATGGAATAATATTTTTCTACAAGCGTGCGTGATTCACCCTATACCCGCACGCAATTTAGTTTGGAAAGTGTCATTTTCCCGCAACATTGCGGGAAAAACAAAGATATGAAGATATGGCGACAAAATAAGTGGTAGGTGATGGAACATGAGAGTTTGAGTTTGTTTGTTGCAGTATTAAGTATGTATGTTCAGAATCATCCATCAAATTGCACTATTTATTGTGAAAATCAAGAAATATTGAAAAATAAAAATTGATTATTATAAAAATCCCCCTGCTATAGATTTGGATTGATCTCATGGGAATAGTTATTTACACTACAAGGGAGGCAAGTGATACTTACCAGTCGAGGACATTGTTTGCGCCCGAGCGATAGCGAGGGCTTGCAAAATAGTCCGAGACTGGTCATGAACACTGCCTCCCGAGTTTTGTATTATATTTTTTCTACTCCAGTTCCCTTAGATTAAAAAAAATGTTTTTCAATTACTTATATAATTTGACTAATCTAACTGAAAAACCCTGTATGTATGACAGGTTTCCTAGTGTTACACGTTGATCGCTATGGAATTCATATTGTTTATAATCAAACAAATGTTCTGTCAGTGTCATTTTATTAAAAAAATCGAAATAATGGATATCGATGCAGTTGCGAATGCAGCTTGTGCTGCTCTATTACCTCAGCTAGGGAGGTAAATATTTACTTACCTCCCTAGGGAGGTAGAACGTGTTTTCCTCCCTCAAATCAGTATCAAAATGAAGTACTTACCGAGTAAGGAGTAGAAAAACGATTATTGTTGTCATACCAATCAAACCTTAATTAAGTTTGTAATTGTCGAAGTGACAGACACAGCGCTACTGTCATTTTCGATTCAGTGGAATTGCCACAATGTGATCAAAAACTTCCAGCTATCGGGATGCAAAACAGATGCGTTATTGCCAACAAAGTCTTGAGAAAGGTATGAGAAGCTATACACGCGTTTTATTGAATGGTGCAACAATAAGAAAAGGAAAATACCGAATGAAGAAGATATATTTTTGGCTCATTTCCTAGAAGTGTCTGAAACCTAGAGACCAAACACCTTATGGGCCTGCTGGCTTCTGCAATGATCCTATACAAAATGCGTCAAACTGTAAGTTCACAATAGCTATTACTAATAATCAGTAGACAAAGAATATATTTCTCTTGTTATTCCTTTCTATATGGACGAATAATTAATTGAACAATTCAATCAATTTCCTACGCTTGTAGAAAAAATATTGTTCCTAACTCATGCGGAAAGTGTCTTTCCCGCACTCGACTGCTTGCCCGAACTCCGCTTCGCGTCGTTCGGGTCAACGGCAGTCGCGTGCGGGAAAGAATCACTTTCCGCACTTGTTAGGAAAATTACTATTTCGGAATGTTTTTTTTTTTATTTTGA